GAGAGAGAGAGAGAGAGAGAGAGAGAGAGAGAGAGAGAGAGAGAGCATATGCATGCAAAGGACCTAAGAATAGCAAAGATAGTTTTTGAAAATAGCACATAAGATGACTTAAGAGTACTTGCTACTTGCCAGGTATGGTGGCACATGCCTTTAATCCCAGTACTTGGAAAGCAGAGGCAGGCAGATCTCTGTGAGTTCCAGGCCAGCTGGGGATACAGAGAGACCCTGACTCAAAAAGACCAAAAAGAAGACCCTAGTTTGGGTCCTAGCACCCATGTCATGCAGCTGACAACTTGTAACTCCAATTCCAGGGGATCAAATAGCCTCTTCTGGCCGCCACAGTTACCTGTTCACACATGACATGCACTCACATACACTTAAATAAAAGTAAAACACACACACAAACACACACACACAATTTGCATTTGTAGTGATTACAGAGCTGCTGTCGCTGAGGTGTTGAAGTTTAGGCCCAGGGAGAAGAACTCTAAAATTTCAGTAAAAACAAATTAGTCAGGGCTGAAGATGGAGTTCACTTGATAGAGTGCCTTACCTAGCATGCTCAAAGCCCTGAATTCAATTCCCAGCAACATATAAACCAGGCATGTTGGGATACACTTGTAATCCCAGTATTTGGAAGGTAAAAGCAAGAGGATCAGAAGTTCAGGATCATCTTCAACTCATAGAAAGTTGTCGACAGCTCAGGGTACATGAGACCTTTTCTCAAAATCATCATCATCATCATCATCACCATCTTATTAATGAACCACGTAGGAGTCATGGTATATGTCTGTAATCCTAGCACTTGGGAGGCAAAGGTGAGAAGATCACAAGTTCAAAGCCAGCTTGGTCTCCATAGTGAGTTCCAGCTCAGTCAAGGTTACAGACTGAGACCTTGTCTCCGAACAAATCATAATGAAACAAGAATTAATTAATTAATTAATTAATAGGTGGTGCTTAGACTAGTTATTTAGCTTGCGAACAACAATATAGTTATTTCCTATACTAAAATTATATCAGATGGGTTATAAAGACCTAGATGTGAAAAGAAAAGCTTATAGAACATTTTTTACTTTATTATAGGGAAAAATTTCATTTTAAACTAAACAAAATAAATAAGGAAGTGGAAATTTTTGACTACATTAACTTTTTGTATTTTTGTTGGTATTTTTTTTGAAGGAAGGTCTTACTATGTAGCCCTGGCTGGCCTGGAACTCAATATGTAAACCAGGCTGACCTTGAACGCACAGAGATCTGGCTGCCTCTGCCTCTCAAGTGCTGGAATTAAAGGTCTGCACCACCTTGTGTTAATTTTTAATTAAAGGTGTGCCTGGCCTTGTGTTAATTTTTTTTTTTTCTTTTAAACTTATGTGTATCAAGCCAGATACTAAACTGTCCCACTTTAGGTTGTGTTTATGAAGTATGTGTATGTGGAGAAATAAATGAAAATAGGGCCATAGCTTCCACACCACCAGGAGGCACCCTTCACCTTGTAGTGTATATACATGGTTCCCTAGCAGAGTTGTGCAGTGTGGCAACCCCGCTCAGAGGGAGACTTAGTAAAGACTGATTATGGTGGTTTCATGACATTATTTATGTAATCACATAATCAAAAAATATTTTTATATGCCTAGCATATACAAGGCCCTAAGAAGATACTTTTATATTAATATATAGGAGCTGCATATTTTTCCCACAGAACACATTGCCATCAGCAACATCGAGTTTACTAAACTATGAAAACACTGGACCAAGATAGGAGAAAAATTAATTTTTAGTTTATATTGAGTAAGCAGTCTGAACTTTCTGGACCTCATTTTTATCATCTGGTAAATGAGGTCTTTTGCTTATTATTTATTATTTCCTTTTTGTTGGTGCTGTTTTGTCCTCTTTTTTGGGGGAGGGTTTGAGACAGGGTCTCACTATATAGCCCTGGCTGCCCCAGACCTGCCTATATAGTCCAGTCTGATATCAGACTCACAGAGATCCATCTGCCTCTGCCTCTGCTTCCCGAGTGCTGAGATTAAGGGTATACACCACCATACCCAGTGTCTTCTTCTTTTTTTTTTAATATTTATTATTTTTATTTTATGTGTATGAGTGCATTGCCTGCATGTATGTGAGTGTACCCGTGTCAGAAGAGACCTTCAGATTCCCCTGGAACTGGAGTTAACGACGGTTCATAGCCTACATGTGGGTGCTGGGAATCAAACCCAGGTCCTCTGCAAGAGCAGTGAGTACTCTTAACCACTGAGCCATCTCTCCAGCCCCCACCAGTGTCTAAATTTTTTTTAGCAGTACTGTGGATCCAACCCCAGAGCCTTGCACTTACTATAGACAAGCACCCTACCACTAAGCTCTTCTTGCTTTTTCATAATTCGTTTGTTTTGCAGTTTTTGTTGGTGGTAGTTTTGAGACAGATTATTGCTATGTGACTCAGAACATCCTAGAAATTGACTGTGTGTACCCTAGGCTGGACTCAAAATCCTCCTCCCTTAACCTCAGGTGCTAGGATTGGAGGTACATGCCACTACTCTTGCCTTTTTTTTTTTTTTTGAAACAGGTCTCTCTGTAGTCACAGCTGGCCTGGATTCACTATGGAGACTAGGCAGGCTAGCCTTGAACTCATAGAGATCCGCCTGCCTCTGCCGCCCAGGTGCTGGAATTAAAGTCATGCACCACCATGCCCAGCATGCTTTTTTTTTTTTTTTTTTTTTTAAATGGACTTTTAATATCAGCTCTGTCTAAAAAGTC